AAAAATGATCAGGGGGATGGAACACCTCTCCTGTGAAGAAAGGCTGAGAGAGTTGGGGTTATTCAGCCTGGGAAGGAGAAGGCTTCAGGGAGACCTTATTGTGGCCTTTCAATACTAAAAGAAAGATGGGGACAGACTTTTTACCAGGGCCTGCAGTGATAGGACAAGGGAGAATGGTTTTAAACTAGAAGAGGTGGACTAGATGACCTTTAAAAAGTCCCTTCCAACCCAAACCATTCTGTGATTCTATGCATAGGTGCAGCGTAAACAAAACACAGGTGGCTAGCCAGAGAGACTTTTCCCTCCGCACTATCACAGGAAATGGCAGAAACATGAAATCAGTGAGAAGGGCAACAACTGCTTGCTCTCATTAAATTTTAGTGATTTAAAAGCTTAAACTCTAAGAACCCAGACAATGTTCCCAAAACTCTTCTGGAAGCCAGCCTTAGTTAATTAGTGATACAAAGCCATTTTAAAAATAAAAAGCACCAGCCATATTGTAACTCATTTGTATGAGCTATAGGCTTTACCCAGAATAAATATTGCCGGGAGACAAATATATTCTCTTGCCTTTTTTTTTTTTAAAAACACAAGAACAACTATGCCTGCTGCATTTTTGTCTCCTGATAACAAGCATGACTTATGTTAAAATTTTTAACAAGCATGACTTATCATTTAAAATTTTTCCCTTTATCAACCATTTAGATAAGTAAAAATAATTGCTTTTTAGAGCAATGAGGAAAAAGGTTGTTTAAACAACCAAGCTGCACACACTTCCGATTAAAAAAAAAAAAGGTAAGTTACCTTTTCTCTTAACTTTGCCAACCTTTTTTCTTTTTCTCGTTTCTCTACTTCTTTAGCTTGTTTTTGTAGAATCCTTAGCTCTAGTTTATGTAGATCCTGAAACATAGCAAATGGAAAAGCAAACTTTTCTTTGGAAGTTAAAAAAATTGTATCAAAATATATATCCAGCCTTTTCACAGGTTTTTGTTTTGACATTATCTTGTCATAGTACAGAGTAACATTACACTAGATAGCTACTTGCTACAGCTTGTCCTGCACAAACAGATTATAGTTACACAGTATTGAAAAAAAATTGATTGTAGTACTTTAATCTCTGTTTATGAAATGAACTCTATTGTGAATGCTGACAATATCGGTTCTCCAGTAACCAGATTTACATTGAGATGGGATCGAACTTGACCTTATAGCTACTGAAACCTGCAGGATCTTCAACACCTCTTTTTATTTCATACCTGCATACAACAATCAGGTCTTTTGACATTTTTCTACAGCATGGAGAGCAACACAGCCTAAGCTGTTTTTCCCAAACATTTTCACACTGAAGTAAATAAAACCACGTCTATATGTAGAAAGAAGCATGGGCTTGAATAATCCTGTAGAACTTAGATACTGAGGAAAAGCAACATCTTTTTCTAGAATAAAGTTTCACACAGTTTCTTGTATGTAACAGATGCTGTTATTCATCGTGGATCAAAAATAGACTTAAATTAAAAATCCTTAATACCCAAGTTTCATTAAAAGTGCTTAACAGACTATATTATAGGAGGAAGTAGGTGAATTTAAAATAACGTGCATAAATGGAGATGTAATTACGCACACGCTCTTGAAACTTAGTAATTTCTTCTGCAGCAATTCTCTTCCTTTCCTCCTTTTCAGCTTCCTCTCTCTTCTCCTTTTCAAGCTTTTCAAGTTCCTCTTTTTCTTTCTTCTGCAAGGTATACCTTTCCAACAGTAACTTCATGTGGCACTGTCGCTGGCGTTCTTTTTGTTGCTTTTTCTCCTTCTCTTCTTCTAGTTTTAGTTGTGATGCTTGTTCCATTGCAAATGCTACTGCTTTCTGTTTCTTCCATGCTTCAATTGCTGCTTGTTGTCTTTTTCTTTCTTCTGCTGCTTTTTGCTTCTGAGCTTCTTCACGCTGTAGCCATGCCTCCTTGAGCATTTTTTCTGCTTTCTCCTTCAAGTTTCCTTCTTTTTCTTGCCGCTGCTTTTCTTTCCACTTCTAAATTGACTGCAAGAGAACAGCGGGGGGGGGGAACCAAACGGTTTTCATGAGAATTTTTACACATTCCTGTTAATTCAGTCTGATGAAAACATATGCTCCAAGGATACAAACTGCAGATAGGAATTAAAAGTCTACTAAAGGCAAAACTTAAAGGCAAAAAAGCGCCTATGTCTGCTTTCCCACAATTTTTTTTTCTATTTTATGGATCATACAGGCAGGTTTAGTACATGCCTACTAAAATTATTCAAGTTATGGCATCCATATTACCTTGAAGTAGTTATGAATATGCTTTTTTAAATGCAAACATATTTCAGGTGTTAATTTTTTTCTTCAAATTAACAATTCCAACTAGTATTTTATACACTGACATAAAAACTGAATTATCTTTTATTACTCAGATGGATAGTTCTTGAAGGAATCATAATTCTCTATGTCAGAGGTACATTGCCTATATGGTAGGACAGATATTCTTAGGGACAGATGTAATAAGAACTGCAATTTCAGATAGGATCACTTACTGCTCTGGGATTGGCATCTAACTTGCTGGACCACTGCCATCAAAAGCATTTATAGTACACTTTGGTAATACACAGCCCACTTCAGTGTGTTGTTAGGTCTACGCTTATTGGTAATTCTTTAAGACAAATATTTTTGGCAAGTTGAGGATGCTAAAGACTTCAGTTATATACCATCAACTGTAACAGAAATCCACCTAGTGCTACCGCCAGAGAGGGAAATACAAAAATAAGAAATGCATGCATTTTAAAAATAAGTACTTTTTCTTAAAGCTACAAAAGCCCTAGAGGGGTTATTTTACCTCTTTCTTTCTTTCGTGTAAAATTAGGAATTCCTGATACCATTTGTCATGCTGTTCAATATCTTCTTTTGTTCTTCCACAGAGATACTCAAGGGCTTCATCCATGTAAGATAGCCTTCCTTTGTGTTTTGTCCGTACTTTCAGAAAATTTTGATGATCATAATCATCCCAGCCTCCTTGCCGCCCTCCTGTTCGCTGAAGAAATCTTTCAAACTCTACTACTTCTGCAGGTAGATGATTTCCCAGTGTTTTATCAACTGAGACCCTGGCTGATGATAATTTCAAAACTTTTTCTGTTGTTGAGCTGCCTAGCGCCCACTGTTCTACTTTTCTCTCAAAGACGCTGAGCTCATTAATGACAGTTTTTTCCTCCTTCAAAAGCTGTTCATATCTGAAAAGAGAACGAACACTGAAATGTAAGAAGAAAATCCAGTATTCATTGTTCATTCACTGAAAATGAATTTTGGAATTGTTCAATGCCACACAAAAGCTATTCTTCAAAGATTAAGAACTGAAATGGTAACACAGATGACAGCACAGTTGTAATGATCCCATAATAAAGCACTACACAATCAGAATTAAGTTACCCTTTTAGTGAAAGCACATATTTATGGCACTCAAACAACTAACTCAATCCCCTCCTGACACCAGTAGAAAGGGGAAAAAAAAAACCCCACCCACTTAAAAAACAAAACAACAGCAACAACAAAAAACCCACAATCTAATCTCTTCTGCAGCCTTTCTCTGAAAAGCCTTTTCACAGGCAAATCATTGTCACATTGGACCACTGCAATTTCTATATAAACAGCCTCTCTAAAAGGCCGTTTATCAAAGATTCTAACGTTGATAGCTTGAGTTTTGATTTACATAGCACAGGAATCACTAGCAAAAGAGCAAATCAAAAGAATAGTTTACTTGATTAATGCAAAGTTTTGTCTCTTATGAAAGCACTTTTTCTTGTAACTGAAGCATGTATAAACATACATTTGCCTCTGTTCCTCTTTAAAAGCATTGATTGCATTTTCAACTTCTTCCATCATTTCCTTGAGCTTGTCAACAACTAAAAAGGAAAAGAAGAAAAGAGCATATCACTTGAGAAGTCTACAGTATTTACCAGTAATTCAGCACTATCCAGAAATATAGGCACTTGCAGAGACTTCTGGGACACTTTTATTTCAGTGTACAAAAAAAGCATGCATTTCCATCTCAAACAGCCTTAAAGGAGAGACTCTCATTTATTCAAAAGGTGTGATTTCACAGTGATTTAGCTAACTGGATGCAAATCCCAGTGTAAATGTTTATTTCCATTAAACAAGTCTCATTCTGAGTGACCTTCAACTGATTCACAGAATAAGACAGCCTTATCCTAAAGAGTTTCTGCTTTTGTTTTTTATAACAATGCAATTAGTGACTTAAGAATCACACTCAATCTTTGGTTTATACCAGGCTGTAGCAATCCTGTTTAACCTACAAGTCACTATTTTTACAAAGCTGACAAAGAAACGTCAAAGTAAGACTTTATCCTGTACTGTCAGCAGGCTGTAGTCCTGATATGGAGAAAGACGGTAAGACAGCTGTCTAGAGAAGATCTATTTTGCAATGGTAGAAAAAAAATTTAGAATCTGTTTTAAAACAGCACAACATCTCTATGGACACGTATTGAACATATAGTTTACATATGTTCAATATGTAAACATATATCCTTGCTTTAAAAAATAATAAACTAAATTGGTAGTTATATCATATAAAACTCTTAGTTCAGCTTTCAAGCCTTGTTAGTTCTTGGTATCTTTGCTGACAGCTTAAGAAGATAATGCATTTTTTTATAGAATAGACACTGAATAACTGAGATGAGATGCATTTTATCTAGCATCAGAAAGCCCTCAGCTGGTAGGAGGGCTTCAACCTGAGCTCCATATGAGGTAGTAGCATATCACTCTACACTCACAGCAGGAGAATGGTTCTTTCAGTGCCTACTTCCCAAAAGTTTCAAGACATCCAAACTGAACGAGTTGTTTCAGCATTTTCCACAGAATATTCCAACTTACACTTCAAGCCATGTGGACAGCTAGAAATGAGTTCCCTGTAGACCCTACTCTGTGACCTCTTACCAGATGAAAGGGAGCTATATCTAAATGGCACTAGAATACTAACTTTATTTTACATAAGGCAAAGAGTTACATATAGAAAATACGTGGCTTTCAACAGCCTGAAGAAACAAACCCACACCACTTCTAAGACAGAGTAAGTTTCTCTGTTTCCACACCAAACTGCACGATCTTTCACCATTTCTTACATTTCTGCATTCTTCCCTTCCCAGATTCCTGGAAAAGCAGACAGACTGGAGAAGGAATATCCCACATCTGCAGGAGAATCACAAGCCCAACTATGCAAGAAACCTGTCTATAGAGGAAAATGTTTTTAAATCTGTCATCACAACTTACATTCTGGTGTAGGCTTCACATCTTTTAATTGTTGCTGAAGTCTCTTCACATTATTTTGTATTTTTGATAGCTGCTGCAGGATTTTAGCTTCTGTTAAACAAAGTAAGGTGCTGATAGTTCTAACAGTTTCTTTGTGCATTTTCAATAAAAGAACAAGACCAATGAAGTGCCCAAAATAACTGGGGATTTCATCTAAGCAGAGACACAACTTCTGTTTGATCATAAGAAACTGCCATAATACTAAGCATTTTAACATGACTGTAACTGCATGTAGCTGACTGCACGGGCCATGTATCTCCCCACACAGCATCAACAGATTTTAAAATTAGTAGCTCCTATTTCTAAAGGGGTCAACAGGACAGTCATATCTACATTAAATCAGGTTGTTTTTTTTTTTTCTTTCCAAGCCTTTTATCAGGTAACCAGAGCTTGTAGAATATTGCCTATGCAGATGACACCTCCTCTAGAATTTTGAGGGAGACTCTGACCTAGGCCTCAAAACACTCAGCAATGAAGAGAAAACAAACTTGGAAAGCATATGTGAATGTACTACTTCAACGAGATTTATTTATTTGCTGTGTTAACTAAAGTAGAATCAATGCTTGTGTACTCCAAGCATGCATGCACTTATTTGCTTTGTTACCACTTGGCTCCTCATGGGTCCATAAATACAATACTGATGAGGATGAAGTCCCGGATACATCTTAGGTACCAAGGAGCTGTATCTTCTATCCTAAAAGATTTGGTTTAAGGAAGGGACAACAGAGTCCAAGACCTAAATGTAACAAAATGTAGCTAAGACATGATCCTACTTAGTTTCTACTGAGACTACAGAAAGTATAAAAGCACATAGATCATGCTGAAAGACCTAACATAGTAAATGGGAAATTTGGGGGTTCTAGTACACATGCTAAAAGATCATACTCTAATACTCCTTCACATCTCACATGTAGTGCCTTAAACCTCTCATCTTTGGCCTTTTTATTATCTCACAACAGTATCTCCATCCACACTTCCATGCTCCCTTCTTACCCCTGGAAAATTTTCTGAACTTTTTAGCTTAGTCATTCCTCAGAAATATTTACATTTCTTAAGGACTGCAAGATGTAAAGGACATGACAAGTTTCCTTAATTAAAAGACACACATTAAAACACATATAAATTTGTAAGGTAAGTGTACGTTTAGTTGTCTCTATGTGTCCTTTCCCATCTTCAACTTATTTTGTTTTGATCTTCTGTATCAGAAGGCATAGCATGATTTATTTGATTACTTTTGAAAGAATCTAGGTACTGTGACCAGGGAGTCACTTTTTTTCCTGAAGTATTTAGTCTGTAAGTGGAACAGATATTGTAGGACAGACTGTGTACCATCTCACAGCACTATTTACACTATGAATATTCATCATCCACAAATTTGAAAAATGCAAACACTGAACTGTTTAAAAGTGTATTTAAAGGCAGCAATCCGTGTGTGAAAACTTACGTTGCAGTAAGTATATATTTATTGTACCTTAGCTAGACTACATTAGATTTTGCAATACACACGCAAAATTGATTCCAACTTTCTAAAACAGTAACTTTCCACCGACGTCGCTGTGGGTGGTATCTGCTACATTCAAGATTAAAAGAAAACAGTTAATAACACAGAAAGCCCAAAATGTTTATGCCTCTAAATTTTACAAGTAAATTGTGGAAGCCTTCTTTATAAGCAGTACACATGGTGAAATACCACATTTTTATCAGCATCTACCTTCCACCAGAACTAATCCCTCCGTACTACTGATTATTAAACCATTTAAACAAAAACCAGTAGAGTAAAAAAAGGCAAACAAAAAACCCAACTAAAACCCCACTTACTTTCAGTTTTCCTGCTGACAGTCATGCTATGTTCCAGTTCCTCTAGTATGCTGTATTCTACCCTGAAATCACTCTTCTTATTGTAAAGATGTCCATTTTTGTCTTTTTCTATATTTGCAAGCCTGGAAAAAAAGGTTGCCACACTGAGTAAGACACGAATACTTAGCAAAGCCCCAAGATTTTCCAAGGTTAGACACAGCCTCAGCTGGATACAACAGGACTATCTTAGATTTTATACAAATCACTTGTTTGTTCTTACAGCTGTTTTCAAGGAAAATCTTTCTGCAGTTTTAAGACTACACACCAAAGTAACCCAGTAACTTGAACAAGAAAAAGAAGTTAACAAGGAAATTACCTCGCTGACAGGCAGCTGTTCATACACTGAAATGGCCTGAAATTTTATCTGTATGCTCACTATCAGGGAGCCTTATGAGAATTTTCATTGGAAAGCACAGGGGCAGAGACAGGCTGTATTAATGCAGTTGCACACATAGATGGAGCCCCAGCACAGACAAAACAAGTACATTCTCTCGGCCTTAGCGCTAGTAATAGTACTACTGCAACTGAAGATTCAAATTCATCAGCATTTAAATAACGAGATATTAAAGCTGCTACCTTACTTACTGACTATGCTTTATGTATAGTACAGAGAGCTATAGGTGACTTTCGCCTTCTTAGCAAGGTCAGAAGCTTTAGAGTACAACTCAGAGCGGCATGTGCTTTGCCTTACTACAACCAGGCAGTATACTAGGGCTTGACCTACAGAACTGCATATGCAAAAGGACTGCAGATAGTGCAGTCCCGAGCACATATGTGAAGTTTGGTGCCACCACATTAGAGATCAGAACAGCAGGACACTGGTGCCACACAGTACAGAGACATCTGGTAGGATTCCCAACGTTAAGCAACACTACCTACAGCCCAGGAAACAGTGTCTCTCAGTAGCAGCTTGGTTCTTCAGCAGACTATTGCTGCTATATGGTTCAAACCCCTATACAGTGCAGTTTATGGTTCGCGTTTGCTGTCCGCTGGAATTCACAGACCAGACCCAAGTAACCAAATCTCCCTACACAGTGCACTAGAAGCCTTCAGGGCACAACAACTACAAAAGGACAATGTGTTGTAGTTAAATGGCATGCCTTGTTTGAAGCTGCTTGGGAACGTCTACATTACCCAGCAGTCAATTTTTGAGCCATAACCCAGGATCCAGAATAACCAAGGAGGAGCTGATTCAGACAGCGTAAAACACTGCTGTGAGACTTAAGTGTCACTGTTCATTCAGGGTTCACAACTACAAACCTCTTCTTCAGCCAGGTGGCTATGTCAGCTCTTCCTCATAAAGCTCAGCTGTGCAAGAAACCTCCATGTTCTTTCAGCTGCCAGCATAGTTGTTACAGCACTTACTCAAGACGTGGGGAAACAGATTTAAATCACTTCTGTGCCTGAGCTGTCTTGAACCCCCATTTTGCAAAGCAGTGGCCTAGATATTCCAGATGAATTGAAGTGCTTTCAATCTTCTCTGAGGAAGCTGTTGTAATGCTGCTGCAGTTCCCCTTTTGTTGGTATGTCTTAAGGGCTTTAGATCCTTAGAAGGGTAAACACAGCTGAGTAGGAAAACTGAGAACTCAATTATGCCTCACGCACTTTCTTTTTTGCACATCGAGTGCAGCAATAGCTTACTAAAGAAGATGACTGACCAAAGTCCAAATGGTAATTAGAACAGGGCATCTTGGAGCTCATGAGCCTATCCTGAACTACTGTAACAACCACAATAATCTGCCCGAGCTCCTGAAAAGGAAATCTTAGCCTAAAGGTTTCACTACCATAAATTCTTACCTTGAACCTTATGTTACCTCCAGAACAGCATGAAAATATACTTATGATGAATTGTTTAACTTACTGAGTTTTTAGCTTTTCTGCAGTTCTTATGAATTCAACTTTCTTAGCTTGTTCAGCTTTCATCTTCCGGTTCTGAAATTGTCGACCAGCACCTGCAGTACTGGAACAGCTGTCATTCTGTACGTAACAAAATCAAATATTATTCAAAAACAGTATTTATTTTTTAAATGCTCATTGGTTATTTTTAAGCAGACACCACCACAATGCAGAGTAGCAGCATTACTTCAGTTTTATACTGGCGCAATTCAACTAATTTTAAGTCACACGGGAATAAAACTGGAGTGATGAGTGATGGCAAGCTGATGACTACACAAAAATGCATTCTTCAACAGAAAAATGGAGAGACTGCAACATCAGCTTGCTTTAACAGAGGCTGCTCACCACACTGCAATACTAAATCAAGGCAACTGCCTTGCCTCTCACGGCACTCAGTCTCTTGACGAGTCACAGTAACTACCTACCTAAGTATAAGCACGTAATCTACATTAGGCAGATTACCCCCCTTTCATCTTGTTCAAGAAAACCACTAGCGTAACTTCTGAAATCTGCTTAATATCCCTTGCAAATTGCCAACTCTTATTCATAGCAACCCTCAACATTCTTAACATAACCACTGCTAGGAACAGCAGATTATGAAACGGCCTGTTCAGGTTATGAAGCTACCATTTTGAGGCCAGCTCAGCAAACCCGCACTGCTTCCCACAGGTTTCTTTTTAACGTTTATCCCTCCACCTTGTACGAGGCTGGCACTCCTCAGCGGCCGCCTCCCGGCAGGCCCGCAGAGAGGGGCTCCCCGCGGCCGGCGGGAAGGGCCGGCAGGGGAGGCAGCGGCCCCGCGCTGCGGCGCGGTGCGGCCTT